ACGACGACGACGACGACGACTAAACATACTAATGAAGCATCCTGACAATAGCTCTTTCTACAACGGGTTTGGAGTCTGGAGGCCATCCAGGCCGGCTGCGGCACAAGGGCACCTGATGGTGCCCCGATGCCAAGGAAGACCTTCTCAAGAGCAGCGAACAAACATCCACCCCACCCTAAACCCTAAACTGAAAGCCCTGCACTCCCGAAGAGCCTGGCTACCCCGCTCGAGCGATTCCTCAACTCCGCAGCTCCCAAAGTCATGGCAGCTCTAAACTGTTGCCCTCAAAGACTCATCCAAGACTGCAGCGCCTTGCCCTAAACCTGAAACTTAACCTCCGGAATTCAAGAAGAAACCCAACACCCATATGCCAAGAGAATTATTCCTCTATAAGCCTGTGTGCAAAAACCACTTCAGACTTCCCTTTGATGGCCTCTTCCGGCCTGTTTTCGCTGGGGCCGAAGAAGGCCGCTTCGGAAGGGGGTCTACACCGAATACCCTGCCGGACAACGTGTTTTAGGGATATCGGGATTGAAGAATTTAGGGATGTTTAGGGATTCATGGTTTAAGGGGGTTTAGCAATCCTTGCTAGCAGAGGGCAATTGGTAGCTATGCATTCGATGCACCATCAACGCTATGGCCCGGACACTCAACTTCTCTGTGGACACGTTACTGGATGAATGGAGCATGCACGAAGCAGAACAGCCTCCTCTTCTTCTTCGGCGGTGAGGGCTGTGGATGGCTTTCATGATCAGTCCTGGAAGCGGCATTAGAGACAGCAGTCGTACAAGTCAATTTGTCTAGTAGCCTAGTAAGTAGCAGGCCGGGTAGAGTTTAAACGGTGCGTCATGAAACACTACTTGACATTGCTTACCATTGCACACCGACCAGTGGTACAACGCTGTGTGTTCCCCCCCGCAGTTCTCTATTATAGTCTATGACGTGGGCCTAAACCCTAAACCCCTAAACTCCTAAGCCCTGGACTCCATCGAATCTGAGAGCCCGGCGAAGGTCTAGGCTTGTGCTGCGAAGCCCTTCTATCATGGGATTAGGGCCTTGAACCGCGAGTTATGGGGTATAATCCTCAAGTTGGTGGACTTTGAATTTGACCTTTAAACCCGGAAAGCCGGCCTATGTCTTGCAGAGCACCAGCAACTTTGACAAGAGCACATGTCGCCAACACCCCAATTCCCTTTACAAATCAGCCGAAGCAAAATCATGTTTGGAGAGCCGTAAAACATCCAAGCAAAACACGAACACATCCGGAAGACACTCGAGAGAGACACCCGAAAGCTGCAGCTCGACACCCAAAACCCTCGCATCACGGCACTCAAACGTATCACGGCTTGAAGTTTGGGGTTTTCAGAACCTAGCCCCAGAAGCATCCACGACCCCACCGCAAAACGTGAGTGTTGAGGCGGTTGCACTGTTATACTGTGGGTGAACTCACATTCCGCATTCCCAACCCTACACTCCGAAGAGAAACGAAATCTGATCTTCAACCGTACCCGAATCCACCCAAAACGGCCCAAAACCCTCTAGTATCCCCTACAGTACATCCGCAATCCACAAATCCACCGGGATCCGGGATACCCTGCGAATCTTCGACCCTATATCACGAATGCCCATAAATCCTGTAGAATCCCCTGCAAATCCTCGACGCCAAAGCCCGAACCCCTCATAAACCGGATGGGTAGATCCTGAACCTCAACCCCAAATCCTAAATCCTACGAACCGCTAGCCCTGCAAAGCCTGATCCCTAAACCCCTAGACCTAAATCCTACAAAGCCTGATCCCTAAACCCTAAACGCTAAATCCTAAACCCTAAAATTTCCTAAACCCTAAACCCTCAATCCTAAACCGTAAATACTACAACCCCCTGAACCCTAAACCCAAAATCCTAAAAGACCCTAAACCCAAATCCTAAAGCCCCCCTGAACCCTAAACCCTAAATCCGAAAAGACCCTAAACCCTAATTAAACCCAAAATCCTAAAAGACCCTAAACCCTAAATCCCGGAACACCCCGGATCGGATCTCCCACGTACCAGATGCGGGTGTCCTTGATGCCTCGGGCGCCGCGACCTTCGGATCTGCCGTCTTCTCGCCGAAGACCCTGCGTTTCGGGTTTGGGGCTTAGGGCTTAAGGCTTAAGGGATGTTTAGGGTTTAGGGTTTAGGGTTGAGGGTTTAGGGTCCAGGGTTTAGGCTTGAGGGTTTAGTCCTGCGTTGAAAGAAACAGGGCTCGGTGGCTTTAGAGAGGTGAATCTAGAGGCTTTGAGGCTTCCTGTAAAGGGACCTATAGGGGTTTAAGGTTTTCGGGCTTAGGAATTTAGGGTTCCCAGGGGCTTGGGGCTTGGGGGGTTTGGGGGTAGAGTTTTTGGATTGACGGCTTGGGATTAGAGTTTGGGATGTAGCTCAGTTGTTTTGGTTTTGATTCTTCTTGCATGGATAGCCAAATAAACTCTGTCAGACGGCGTTTGGAGGTATATTATGAGCTTTATGTAAGGAGGAACCGGCATAGTTAAGGTACTCATTCAGGCTTGGACTCTAATGTTAGATTGTTTAGGGCCTGTTTGGGTTTAGGTCATTGAGTTTGGGGTACAAGCTGCAAGCGGTGTTGGTCTGGGTGTCAAGGCTACTAGTAGCATGTGAACCTAAAGTCTAATCATCAAGAGGGCCATTCTGATGAATATGAGGACGAGGATGAACCTGACTGTCTTGATCACTACGATGGTGTTGATGATCTGGTTATTGCTCCCTAAGCCCTGAACCCTAAACCCCAAAACCCCCGAACCCTAAACCCCTAAACCCTAAACGCTTAAACCCCTAAACCCCTAACCCCCTAAACCCCACGAGACCTTGGAGCGTGGCCTTCAGGGTTTAGGGGTGTTTTTTGGGGGGCTTAGAGAGTGCAAGCCTCGAGGTCCTGTGACCGGCTACATACAAAGGTAGTTTTCTAAATTCGGGTAGTCAGGGACCTAAAAAGGGACCCTAATTCAGAGAACTACATTTTTGGGATATCTCTTCAAGCTAAAGGGGTTTAGGGGATCGAGCGTCAGCCAAGAACCTCATTCCCAGGCCCCGGCTCGGAGACCCGGTGAACCCTAAACCCTACACCCTAAACCCTTATGAGCCCTATAAGCCCTATGAACCCCAGAAGCCCTGGACATCCAACCCTAGCCCCCATGTTGAGCCAAAAATGAACGTGCGCAACCTCCGCTTCTTCTTCTTCTTCGGTGGAGACCGTTGCTGCTGCTGCTCATGATCAGTCCTGGGCCGGAGATCTTGGACCGGAGTCGTACTTAAGCTTGGCTTATAGGGTCATTGCAGAATACTCGGGAAAAGCGTCCAATTGATGTCCCCGTATTCGAGCGGTCCAATGAGTCTATATTATCACCGAACACAGGATGGTTTGGAGTATGGGTACCGGGTTCACGGTTTGGCACCTGCGGTGCGCGATGTGGAGGGGCACTGGTAACGAGCTGCATGGAGAGGGCCCATTACGCGCATGGCGTTGTCGGCAGGTTTTCTCACCTAGGTTTTTACAAACACAGCTCAGGTCCGCACCCTACGCCCTAAACCCCCAAATCAACCAACTGGATGTTCAAAGCATGGTTGCTGTTGAGCCTTCAACCTGAAGTCCCGAAAACCTTCGCCTTCCATCGTTAAGGGTTTAGGGTTTTAGGGTTCAGGACTTTCGGGTTTAGGGCTTAAGGGTTCAGGGAATTAGGGTTCAGGGATTTCGGGTCTAGGGGCTTCAGGGTTTGGGTTTAGGGTTGAGGGTGTCGAAAGCCTGTATCTAAGGTCTGAGCTCTGCACCATCGGCTTCAAGCCATGCGGTATGTCAATTGGAAGCTGCTAATGTAGTGGCAATAATGATGAGGTTTTGTGTTAGGCTTCGCAGCCGTGACCAAACGAGGACAAAAGGGTACATTCAGGGTTTAGGCATGCCTGCCAACCAACCGTGGCAGCGTTGTGACCAATTTGCAGCCTTCAGCCTACAAGCCTAAATCGCCCTGTAGTACCCTTATAAGTACACGTTGTGGTACCCTCAAGTACCCTTATACTGCCCTTGTGGTTCCCTTACCCTAAACCCTAAACCCTAAAGTCCCGGCTGTCCTTGAGGCCTCGGGCATCGAAGACTTGGCAGTGGGGGTCCCCTCGCCGAAGACCCTCAGTTTGAGGTTGCGGCTTTGAAAGCATAGGGTTTAGGGTTTGGGTGATGGGGATGTAGGGGTTTGCGGCTTTTGAGGCTTTGAAAGTATAGGGTTTAGGGCTTAGGTGGGGATGTAGGGGTTTAGTAGGGTTTAGGGTGTAAGGTAAGGAATAACTAAGCGACCTGTGCCTTGGAGCTGAAAGCGTCTGGGTTCTAGGCTTTGGGGGCTTAGTGCTTCTTAAGCTATTAGGGCTCTAGGACTCTAGGGATCTAAGCGCCTAGGGCTGAGGGTTTAACCGCCCTAAACCCTTACACCCCTATCCTTAACTTGTCCAGCGTCCTGGACCTCGAGGTACGAAAGGCTCACCTTTGGAATTACATAGGGCTTTTTCGGGTTTAGGCTTTATAGGTTTAAGGTTATAGTGCTCCAAAAAAAGCTAAAGATTCCTAATGTCTCTACTGCTACGTATTATGCATGCCAATCCCGGAATCTCTTCTCACTTTGGAAGACCCATTCCTTGACTGGAAACCAAAGGCCTAACACCCTAAACCCGTAAATCCTCAAGACCTACCCTGAACCCAAAACCAAAAACATAACCGCTATGTGATAGAAAATCGTCTTTGGGCCCCTATGATGTATTCAATGTGGTATTGTGAGTCGCGAGCCTGACGCCCTAAGTCATGACGCCTTTAGTCTTCAAGCTCTATCGCCTCCTACGTGCCCATAATGTTCTTAGGGTTGGTCTTCGATCACCCGTATTTAGGGTTTAAGGTTTACGGATCGCCCTCATGGAACCTTCGACAGTCCGCACAGAAACCAAGAAAAGTCCCAAACTCTACCGCGGAACCTTCGCTTCTTCTTCTTCGCTTCCGAGTCGACTGGCTCACCTGCTCTTGAAGAATCGATTTTGAGGAATTGCTGGGTTTTGTATCCGGCTGGAAAACTCTTCAGAGGGGTCTTTGACATCTTTATAGGGGTTTTTGGGCTTCTAGGGTCTCTTGTTCCCAAAGACTCTCTTGACGACGAGGGTCTCTGGCTAAGGTTTTCAAGGACCTACCAACGGTTATACGGTTATACAGCTCGGGTATCCCTGAATCTGCGGTGTTATGCTGTAGTGCTTTAGTTGTTTGAGGTTTCTGTTCAGAGTTTCGAGTTCAAGGAAAATCACTTCAATTTCAACGGGGTCGTCGTGGGGCTCCTTCACAGGCACTTTTACGAAAGGAGTTCTGGAGTCTATGGATCCCATGCCTCGGGTTAAGATACGGGCCTTAGGATTTTAGGCCTGTTGGGGTTTAGGGTCCCGAGTATAAATGTAGTTACTTGTTATAAAGATGATGATTATTGCTATTGGCTTGGCTATTGCTACTAGCATGGTTATCATTGTTGATATTGTAGTGGTATGTATATATATATATAGATACATATGTGTATATATATATGTGCGTGCGTATATATGTATAATTTCAGAGAGAGAGAGAGAGAGAGAGAGAGAGAGAGAGAGAAGGTGTAGGGTATGGGCTGTAGATCTCTAGTCCTGGACTTCCCACTCCTCAATGCCCTAGGCTCTACAGGGTTTCCTGCTGATCCAGCGTGTTGGACGTCTCAAAACCCTGAACCCTGTGAGGGTCAGGCCTAGGGCACAGCCTCTCGCTTGACATGCAGCAGGCTAGATCATGTGACGGCATAATGCCTTGTGGCATTTCAGCATGACGACGATGGCGCTGGCCATTCCAAAACCCAATCTGGTTGATGGCACTGCCCTACTGAAACATATTCGCTTTTGGTCTCTGACAGCATTATACGACATCTGAAAGCCATTAAAATCGTGCGATGTCAACGGCTCGAAGACATGGCTCTTGCATGGAGACTGTTGGTGGGCCACACACGAAACTGACATTCTGCTGTAATGCAGGAGCCAACGTGTCATACACAATGCACGGCATGCAACAAATAATCGCAAGATACAGGATGTTGCACAGCCTGTGATATTGTCGAATCTTTTTATAAAAACTATAGAATCGAAAAGAACCAAAAGGGAATCAATGTGAACTAGATTGAAAGAGTATGACCATGTGCGCAACCGTAAATAGCAATACATAAGACAAGAACACAGACGAATAATAGAAGAGAGTCTGAACAAGTATAAACTAGTATATAGTAGAAAAGAAAAAACAGCTTAATCATCTACCATAACGCACTGCCCTGTGCTATGGCGTAATATACTATGATATGAGATAAGGTAATGACACATTATGTACAAGACCCGTTCACTACGCCAACTGCCTTAACGACGGCTGAGAATGCGCCTGGTGGCTCCTCAGTTGCGGGCTCGGCCGGGGGCCTGGGACTGCACAAGAACCACATGCAACTGGGGCTTACCGTACGGTTTAGGGTTTGTGCTGGAAGGCCTGTCAGGGAAGGGGGGATCTTAAACCATAAGCCCGAACTGTGGTTGGGTTTCGCTTCCATTTCTGGTGGACTTTGGGTTGTCATATCCTGCCCGGTGACGTCTTCGTGCTTGCAGACGCCATGGGCTTCTCCTGCCAAGCGAGGCTTTAGATCAATGCCGGTTGTACTCACTTCCCGGTGAAATAACCTCGAGCCGAGAGACATCCAAGTCCCCCCGATGACCACGACGATGATCCACGATGTTGTTGTTGCTGATGATGATAATAGTGCTGATGGTGATGATGCTGATGATGGTGATGATGATGTGACGGTGATTATGGTGATGGTGATAGTCGTGATTGTGCTTGTGACGACGAAGAAGAACAAGATGATTATGAAGAATAATATCATGATTCGATTGTGATGACGGTGATGTTATGCACATGGTAGAAATCGAAAGCATGATGATGGTGTTGCTGGTGCCTGTGGCTTTGGTGGTGGAGAAAGTGGTAGTGAGCTGCTGCCGCTGGTGATGGTAATGGTTAAACTCTGTTAAAACGGGCGAGAACGGGCACTGCTGCTGCCGATGACAAATACGATGGTGATGATGACAGAGCTGATGTTATCATGATGACGATAGTGAAGCTGACCGGGACCATGGGATCACGACGACATCTGCCACATCGGATTTTCCTTTTCAAAAGAGAGGCAGACCAATGTCTGGAGGGGAATAGGACAGCCGTTTCATTGCCATTGCCGCAAGCCTAGAAGTTGCTTGAACGGCTTCTCTTAGGGTTGAGGGTTTAGGGTTTTGGCTTTAGGGTTTCGCGTTGTCAGTGCTTTTCTTCAAAACGACACCGAAGTGGTTTGCAGGCTCTCGGACCTCAAGCGTTCGATGCACAAGGACTCAAGCTCTGTGGCAGTTTATTCTCCGCACAACAAACTAGTGCTAACCGTTAATGACATGAACATCTTCATACCAGTAACACTAGTGTTCGGAAGACAGCAGCCGCGCGCGGGGGCTCTGGCTTCCGAACATTCCCCAGCAGCCCCTTACTAACTCTAATAGCAAGGGCACCCTTTCCTACGACTTGGCTTTAGTAGGTACACCCTAAGCCCTAAACCCAAAGCCCAAAGCTCTAAACCCTAAACCCTAGACCCCAACACCCAAAACCCTAAACCCTAAACCCAAAACCCTAAAGCCAAGAGGCTACTACTCGGGATCTCTAGGAGCCTAGGGCTCCTCAGCTTCGAGGCTGGAGGTTTAGGCTCTCTCTGGGTTTAGGCGAAGGATTCAAACGTCTAGGGTTTTTGGGATCCGGGTACCCTAAACCCTAAACCCCCTAAGCCCTAAGCCCTACACCCTAAGCCCTAAATCCTAAAGCCCTAAACCCGAGGTTCAAAGTCTAGGGTTTAGTAACTTGGGGTCTCTGGACCGAAAAACGGGCAACCCAAGCGAGGAATGATCGGGTTTAGGGCTTTAGGGTTTAGGGCTTCAGGGGTTTGGGGCTTTAGGGGATTAGGGTTTAAGGAGCTCGCACGCTTTTGCCGCTTATTCTGAGGCATGCAATCTGTAACTAATCAATGCACACTCAATCAAGAGAGCATTTGGGCACCTGCACGTGCGGACCATCCGCACACGAGCAACCATGGGTTGCTTTGTAAGATTTTCGAGCTTCGGATGTCGCAGAGCTTTGCCATGGCACTAATTCGCCAATAGCGGCCCTCCAAAGGGGGACGAAATTGCGCAGTGAAGGGGCAGGCATGAATGACAAGCACGCGCGTTCCTCTGCACTGTCACAACGAATCGACAACGAACTCTGCTTCTTGATTTTGGAATTTCTTTGTAAGCCTGTTTGCAGCAGTCTCGTACTCTTCTACGAAACCTCCGATGATGAAGGACACCAAGAGGTTGAGACCCACCAGCACGCCAAGGATGTGAAAGATGACGAAGAATGAGCGAGGAGCCCACTCCTTGGCTCAGGGTTTAGGATGAGTATAGTATATTATGGTATATATATTATAATATATTATGGTATATATTATAGTAAATATTATTAGGGTTTAGGGCTTAGGGCTTTGGGTTTAGGCTTTTATTGTAATCAGGGTTTGGGGACCTTGAGACGGCTTGGACAGTGGGGCTCGGTAATGTGGGCAGGGTGCTCTGGAGTTTGAAGATTAAGGTTTATGGTTTGTGTTTGTGTTTGTCAGTCTCCACTGTTGGGATCGAGGATTTCGCGCATCTGTGGCTTGGCTTGAACAAAGGCTTTTTTTTCTTCTGAACAGTTGAGTTATGACTGCGCTCAGCTGGCTCAGGGGGTTTAGGGCACGCCATCAAAACAAACCTGTGGACGGCTCAATCGAAATTCCTGCCATCAGTATCGACCAAGATGCACCAGCAGCAGCCGTGAAGCCATCACAAATTATAGTCCAGTTGTTGCCAACCAAGAGCTCAAAAAGGGTCATCACACCCATGCCGAAGTCATTGAAGTTGCTGGCCCAATAACCTTTCATATTCTTTTAACTCATGCCAGAAGTAAAAAGTCCTCGACCCTAAACTTAAACACCGTGGCTGCTCCCTAAAGGTCCTAAACCCTATAGATCCTGACACCCTAAATCGTATAGCAGAAGACGAGTGGCCAGCCTGACCGAAGCTGGAGGCCGCTACTGCGGCATGATGAGGGTTTCGTGGGTCGGTGCTGATCATGCCTGGGTTCGTGTTTAGGGTTCTTAGGGTTCTTAGGGTTTAGGGTTTAGGGTTTAGGGTTAGGGTTTAGGGTTTAGGGTTTAGGGTTTAGACTGCTGAGGGTTGCGAGGTGCTGGGGGTTTTAAATCCCAAACCCTCCAGGTACCTACTATAAAGGGCCCCAGGGGCTCTAGTACCCTATATAGTAGGTACCTGGGGGTTAGGGAATCTGGAAGCTGCGGAATGAGGTTGACGGCTCCGGGTCTGTTGCAGAATTCCGTGAAGGAGACTGGTTCAGGAAGTATTATACGTTAGACTACTCTAAGCTACCCTAAACCCTGAACAGGACTTGTCGGAAGAAAGCCAGCCTCCGAAGAGTGACACGCCGATTGCCGAGAAGATATAGCAGATCAGTGCCAGGATCATGAAAATGTCCATAGCTGTAGGGAGCAGCAGGAAAGTAATCCTTCCTAGGTCGTGGTACGGCTGAAAGATGTTGAGCAATCGGAAAAGACGGAACAATCGGGCGCATGCCACCACTTGAACGAGGTTCCAGTCTGCATAATCTATAAGCGGACATGCAATTGCAAAGCTGGTTAATGCGATGATCACGGTCACAACGAAGTCGAACTGGTTGGTATGTGTAGAAAAGTATGTTGGTACTCCCAGAACTATTATCTTGGCGGCCGCTTCGAAGATAAATACCCAGGTGAAGACATTTTGTCTCCATCCCGTAACAGCAGTCAGTTCCAGCTTCTCCGCAACTCCTCTGTCGGTGGAGACCGTGCCTGCCATCACAGGCCACATTTGGTACAACATCACTGCGAGGTTGATGACCAAAACAATGTCTATGATCCATCCAACTCTGTCGACTTGGCCGAGATATTTCTTGACCTTCAGCCAGAGGGGATGATCGTGCAGGCGCGGGAAGAGCACTTCTAAGTAGGGAGGTGGAACCCACGTCTGAATGGCAGTGTTCAGCGCGCCGATGAGAGTTCCGAACTCTTGCTGGCTGATGATGCCGTCCTGGCTGTGCTGAATTAGTTTAGAACAACTTGTTCTATACCTAGAAGCAACTTGTCCTCAATTCAGACAGTCCTTGCTGGTGTCGATATCAAGGGCACTGACCATCTGCGCATTCCGCGTGTCTGCATACTGGCTTAGCTCCATGATCACCTTCATGGCGCTCAGCCCTGACCCTACAAACCGGTAACCACACTCCTACAGCTCGTGGGATTTTGGTGAAATGAGGATTTTCACGAAAGGGGCCTCGCTCTTGCAAGGACTGAAGGAACAAATGATCTGAGACCAGACTCGGTGTTGTTATAGGAGGCTACGGCTCAAGGTTTGGGGGAATCCAAAACTAACGCACACAAGCAAACCTCACATTTCTGTTCGTTTTAAAGGGCAGGGCTCTGCAACCGGAAGAAACTCGAGACCCCAGGAGTGTACAAACATCTTCGATGAGGTTCGGGGTTTAGGGATGGGTCCCAAGCCTGGGGACTGTCCTTGAAGGTCCTTTCATCCGGAAGCTGCATACATAAGCCACTCGCTGCCCAGGGCCTGTGGTCCTACATTCAACACTGACGCTAACCCTGAAGACCCAACCCTAAACCGAAAACCATAAACCCTAAACCCTATGAAACCCTAAACTAAACTAAACCCAAAACCCTGCACCTTCAATCCAAAACCCTGAAACTTGAACCCTAAACCTTGCCATGCCCTAGACCACCAAGAGGATTCCTAAGTCACTCCTGCCTTCTGCAGATCATCCACAGAGAGGGGACCCTCAGAGTTTAGCAGAGCAAAAGCCTCTTTGACTTTGCTCTGCCTGAGATTCCTCGGATGAAAGCCAGGGTTAAGGGTTAAGCTATCAAGGGTTTAGGGTTTAGGGACCGGCTGCGCGTCTTGCCGCGCACCCATAAGACCAAGTATGTTCGGAAGTAGGAAACCCTCGTAAATACCGCATAAATCGTTTTTGCGACAGCTAACATCACCTCTCGGGCGGAGTGCCGCTGCGAGAAGAGTTTTCTTAAGCTGCACGTCCCCTCAGCTGCACGTATCCCGCAATCAACTGTGGTGATTGCGTCAAAGTGCAGCCCTTACGTCAGCAACATCGTGTGTATATGCTGAGGCACATCCGTTATCAGGCTTGGGGCATGGATGCTTTGTGGGAAAGGATGGAATCTGTGTGGATGTTATCATGGTTGGGACTTGGATGCTCTGTGGGAAGGAATCTACATTACGGAGGCGCTTTCCCGCGGAGGGTGCGCAGAGTTTGCGGCCCTGCAGCAGCATCACACGGCAAACACGGTTTTGCCTGCATGTCGTGCTCTGCGGCGGCACGTCCGGTCCGAGGGCTAAACCCTAAACCCAAAGCCCCAAACCCTCAAACCGCTTTAGGATTTGGGGTCAGGTGAACCTTAGTCAGCACCGGTCCCCGAAAGGCTGGACGATGTCGGGATGTCAGGATTTTGGTTTGGGACCCTAGGGTCTTGGGGTTCAGGGTTGAGGGTTTAGGGAGTTTAGGGTTTAGGGCTTAGGGCCTATAACTGCAGGGCTTGGGGAGTTTAGAGTTTGGGAGGTTTGTAAAGTCTTTGGGCTTGGAGGTTCAGGCGGGAGCTTGGGGTTAGGGCTTTCTGTGCAGCCAAGAGTCTTCCGATTTTCCAACTCTGACTCTACCTGGGCTTGGTAGGCCTGCATCACCACGGCCGTAAAGACATTCACCAAGAAAAACATACCTGGCCAAGGCTCATAGGTCGGAGCCGTGTGCAGACTCTGTGAGTCTCCTAATATCCCTGCAGCTCATTTCTCTCCGCCTTTTGCAACTGCCATCTCACGACGCTGGGTTCTCGATATAGAAACCCAAAGCCATAAACCCCAAATACCTAAACCCTAGTCCAGGTTCTTTGGAACCGCTAAGCTTTGGAGTCCGAACCCTCATCCTCCTAATCCAAGCTTTTGGATCGTTAGAATAGAATAGAACCAGAATCAGAATAGAATAGAATAGAATAGAATCAGAATCAGAATCAGAATCAGAATCAGAATAGAATCAGAATAGAATAAGAATAGAATAAGAATAGAATAAGAATAGAATAAGAATTGAATAGAATAGAATAGGGTCTTGGAGCAGACCATACGAGAATTACATTAGGGCTATGGAGGAATACAGTTCTGTTGGGTTTTCCGACCCCCTGTGCCAAACCGAGACCCAGATGCCAATGAGCAGGAAGAGCAGGAAGAAGATGAAGGCAGCACGATGGCGCTGCACAGCTGGCTTCATAATATCGGGAAAGTTGGCCGTCGTGAGAAGGACGAAAAGGCTCCACATGCCCGGAAGGAATGCTGGAAAGTAGCCAGAACCCTCCTGTTAAGCAGCGATGGAAAGCCCATAGCGAATTGATTATTCGGGAGAAAGGCATCCAAAACCCCTACACAGTCATCCCAGGCCAGGGAAAACGTCGACATTCTTGTTGGAAGTTTGGGAGGAGGACCGTTCGGGGAAGACTTAGCTCCTTTCTCCAGCATCCAGTCCTCTGTGTCTGGGGGAAACACCACCAGTGCCATCCAAGCAAAGAAGACCTTACCAGGATTTAACCTTTTTGGCTTTGCAGTTTCAGGGGGCAGGCTTGCGATGAAGGGCTTCAGGTTGTGGGGCTGACTCGCAGCCTTGAGGGCTTCGGTTGCTCGGGGATAACTGGTGCACCTTTCTGGTTGCACTTTGCTCAACACGCTACAGTTGAAGCAGCCCTGCCTGCCTCATACGCCAAACCCGAATTCCGAAGCAGAGATTGTTCGCGCTGAGCAGGTACCCGAAACGGAAAAGCAAAAGCAGAGACTTCACTAAAGAGCCACGACAGCCTTTGAACTAAGCTCTGATTAGACTCTAGACTCAGCAACCCCCCCGTACAAAAGCTGTTCTGCGGCCTGGTGGCCAACAGCAAGAATCCAAGAGCCAAAAGCTCGAGAACGTGAATCATGGAGTGTGACATAATCCTCGAGAGAGGGTGTTCAGTTTTCCGTTGGCCTTGAGGTTCCCATGGAAAAGAGACTGGCTCTGTGATACGGGCTCCTAAGAGGAAGTCTGGTTCAGACAGGCCATAGGACTGGTGGGGGCGATTGATCTGGCGGAATGCTCTCAGCGCACTTCGAGTGGGTCACAGTTGCGGCTGGTGATCGCCGGGATTCAGGGCGGTTGAATTCATACTTAACTTAATACGCCATATCCACAAGCCCGCAACTACCAAAAAAAAGGAAGTGGAGTGGCACAAATCCTTAGATGTGCTCCGAGTAAGCTGCACGAAACCAATTACAGGTAGCAGCAGCAGCAGCAGCAGCAGCAGCAGCAGGAGTAGTAGTCGTCGTCGGCATTGTCGTGGTCGCGGGCGTGGTCGTGGTCTTCGTGGTCGTCGTCCTCGTCGTCGTCGTAGTCGTCGTCGTAGTAGTAGTTGTTGTTGCTGTTGTTGTACAGTGTGCCGGGAATTTAGAGCAATT